GGACATGGAAGCCAGAGAACTTAGAAATAAATAATGTCTTAAAAAGTGTCCATATTACAGAGGAGGAGGTGCTGGAGGTCTTAAAATTCATAAAGAGAGATAAATCCCCAGGACCTGATCAGGTTTTTCCCATAACTTTGTGGGAAGCTAGGGAAGAGATTGTTGGGCCCCTTGCTGAGATATTTGTATCATTGATAGGCATGGGTGAGGTGCTGGAAGTCTGGAGGTTGGCTAATGTGGTGCCATTACTTAAGCAAGACTGTAAGGAAAAGCTAAGGAACTATAGACCAGTGAGCCTTACGTCAGTGGTGAGAAGTTGTTTGAGGGATTCTGAGCGACAGGATTTACATGCATTTGGAAAGGCAAGGGTTGATTAGGGATAGTCACTATGGCTTTGTGCCTGGAGAATCGTGTCTCACTAACTTGATTGAATTTTTTGAAGAGGTGACCAAGAAGATTGATGAAGGCAGAATGATAGATGTTGTCTATATGGACTTCAGCAAAGCATTCGACAAGGTTTTGTATGGTAGACTGGTTAGTAAGGTTCGATCACAAGGGATCGAGGGCAGCTAGCCAATTGGGTACAAAATTGGCTTGAAGGTAGGAGACAGAGGGTGGCGGTGGAGGGTTGCTTTTCAGACTGGAGGTCTGTGACTAGTAGTGTGCCACAAGGATTGGTGTTGGGTCCACTGTTTTTCGACATTTATATAAATGATTTAGATGTGAATATAGGAGGTATGGTTAGTATGTTTGCAGGTGACACCAAAATAGGTGGTGTAGTGGATGGTGAAGAAGATTACGTCAGAGTACAACAGGACCTTGATTAGATGGGCCAATGAGTGGCAGGTGGAGTTTAATTTAGATGAATGTGAAGTGTTGCATTTTGCTAAGGCAAAGCAAGGCAGGACTTATACACTTAATGTTAGGGTCCTGGGGAGCGTTGCTGAACAAAAAGACCTAGGGGTGCAGGTGCACAGTTCCTTGGAAGTAGAACCACAGGTAGACAGGGTGATGAAGAAGGTGTTTGGCATGCTTGCCTTCTTTGGTGATAACATTGAGTATATTGTTGTAGAGGACATTGGTGAGGCCACCCTTCCTTAGGATGTTTTAAACTTGAGAGATTGCATAAAAGATTTACAAGAATGTTGCTGGGACTGGAGGGTTTGAGCTATAGGGAGAGACTGAATAGGCTGGGTTTTTTTTTTCCCTGGAGCGTTGGAGACTAAGGGGTGATCTTATAGAGGTTTATAAAATCATGAGGGGCATGGATAGGGTGAATAGCCAAGATCTTTTTCCGAGGGTGGGGGAATCCAAAACTAGAGGACATAGGTTTAAGGTGAGAGGGGAAAGACTGAAAAAGGACCGGAGGGCTAATTTTTTTAAAGCAGAGGGTGGTGCGTGTATAGAATGAGCTGCCAGAGGAAGTGGTGGAGATGGGTGCAATTACGACATTTTAAAAGGTATCTGGATGGGCATATGAACAGGAATTATTTAGAGTGATATGGGCCAAATGCTGCAAAATGGGACTAGGTCAGATTGGGATGTCTGATTGGTGCAGATGAGTTGGACCGAAAGGTCTGTTTCTGTGTTGTATGATTTGATGACTATGGCTCTATGCCAGAGGAAGGAGTACATGAAGGTACTGTTACAACATTTAAAAGACATTTGGACAAGTATATGAATAGGAATAGGATAGGTTGAGAGAGATATGAGCCAAATGCAGACAGTGGGGCTAGTTTAGTTTTGGAAAATTGATTGGCATGGATGAGTTGAACTGAAGCACGTGTTTCCTTGCTGTATGGCTCTAGGTCTCTCTAACTTCCAAACTAAAATCCATAATATATATTAGAGCACAAAAATATATGCTTTATATAAAACTATTACACATTTGCACTTAGGATCGTATAACTACACAGAACAGTTTTATCGAACTAACAAGATCCTGACAACAGTAATTTTGTGGCAGAAATGAATCAGCATACAAATCTATGCATGGTACAAACTCAACACAAATTAGTGGAAATAAAAAATACCGAATGGATACATCTGCTATTTTTCTAACCACGTATGTTCATATTCTGTAGGCTGGAGTTGCCAGAAAATCAGGCTAGTTGAAATCAAACATTCTTACCTAGACACTGGTTGCAATAGCTCTCCTTGGTCCCTTGACCTCAGATCTAGCATTCATAGTTAACGTTTACTGTAGTTATGAACATTGCAAAACATCTTAGGGAAAACAAAATACCTGAATCCAGGGATGGCCTTTGCAAAGCCAACTATTTTCTGTATGCTGTAAGAGACTAGATCAGCCAGGTGAGGCAGCATAGTTAGTTTTTCATTCCTCTTGGGACCGTTAATGCCATCATGAACCATCCCAAAGATGGATAAATCCAATTTTGGTAGCTCCGACATATCTGTACGAATCATAGAGTAAAATCCAATTAGATAATTATCCTCGATAATCTTTTGCAACAATCCTGATATCTATCTGAAATACAGTGAACAGCCCACCTAATATACACAGTTGACAGCAATTATTGATGAAAGTAAAAGCTAAATTTGTTGTCTGAAGGCATTGATTTTGGTCCCCATGAGGAACTCCATTCTCTGACTGTGGTCTTCATCCCTGGAACCAGCCTGATAGTGAGGCAGACCACTTGGAACCTTGATGTTGTGTTTGACTCAGAGATGAGTTTCTGAACACATATCCACAACATAACCAAGATTGCCTACTTCTATTTCTCAAACATATAAGCAGATAGTGGGTGGTGAGTGAAGAAGGGATGGAAGACCTTCAGAGTAACTGGAGGTTTGAAGATGGAGAACATAATTCTTGTATAGTAATGTTTGACAGCAGAAATAATGAGGAAGATATCAACTTCCAATGAAATTAAACTAAATTCCATTCTGTTCTAGTGGATCAGGTATATGTCAACAATCCTGTGCATCACTTGTAGACTAGAGTGGTACCCCAGTGCTGTTGACTGGGAGTAAGATAAAGAATGAGAGAGGTTTATAGGGGGAGCACAGTGGCACTGTGTTTAGCATTGCTGCCTCACAGCGCCAGGGACCTGGGTTTGATTCCAACCTTGGGTGACTGTCCATGTGGAGTTTGCACATTCTCCCCGTGTCTGTGCTGGTTTCTCCCACAGTCCAAAGATGTGTGTGTTAGGTGGATTGGCCATGCTAAATTGCCCATAGTGTCCAGGGCTGTACAGGCTAGCTGGATTAGCCGTGGGAAATGCAGGGTTACAGGGATGGGGGAGGGTGAATGGATCTGGATGGGATGCTCTTCAGACTGTCAGTGTGGACTCGATGAGCTGAATGGCCTGCTTCCACACTGTAGGCTTCTATGATTCTATAATCAACCTGGTCAGATGCATTATGACACATGTCTAGAGCAAGTGGGATTTGAACCTGGGCCTCCTGGCCCACAGGTAGGGACATTATCACTGCACAAGACAGCACCATCCCGTCTTCTGTGCAAGCTGTGAAGCCTATGTGACTATGTTTTAGCGAATGGCCACACATTAAGTAAAACAAAAAAAAACAAACTATCAAGTCAGCTTTCATTCCAGGATCTGACTTGTCCAGTAGGAGCAACATCCTTGCAGGAGCGTTTGCTAGTGCTGTTGTGAGGAATTTCAACAAGTTCAACAGGTGAAGGGGGACACAATACACTAGTTCAGTAGTGACACAGCACATCCTACAAAAAGAACCTAGGCAGAGGGAATTCAGATATGTTGATTCTCAAGGGAGATCGGGGCAGCTGAATGGCCTTGATTTTAATGCTAGGACAATTATTGGCAAGACGGGCATGGATTGTCACTTGGAATTGTGATGTTGTTGCTATTACAGAGAGATGGTTGACGGAGGGACTGGCAACTTGACATTCTGGGGAATAGGATCTTCAGGCACTATAGGGGAGGGTGTAAAAGAGGACGTGGTGTCACATTATTAGTTAAGGAGTCAGTTACTGCAGTAAGGTGGGATGATATCTTGGAACAGTCATCAAACGAGGTTTTATGAGTAGCATTTAGGAATGAAAGGAAGGCAGTCATGCTGTTAGGAACATATTATAGACCTCCAAACAGTCAGCGGGCAATAGAGGAGCAGATATGTAGACAATTCACCGAGGTGTGCAAAAACAATAATGGGGTAATTATGGGATAACAAGGTGTAGAGCTGGATGAACACAGCAGGCCAAGCAGCATCAGAGGAGCAGGAAAGCTGACGTTTCGGATCAGGCAATTTCAAATTCCACAATTTTAACTGGGATAATCCTAGTATAAAGAGTTTAGAGGGGCCAAATTTCTTAAAATGAGCTTTTTATATCAACATGTAGATAGTCAAATAAGGGACGGTGCAGTGCGGACCCAATTCTAGGGAATTAGCCAGACAGGTATTTGAGGTGGCAGTCGGAAAGCGTTTTAGTGAAAGTGACAACACCGTACATTTTCAGTTTGTTGTGGGAAAGGAGAAAGATGGTGCACAAAAAAGGGTTTTGGATTGAAGGAAGGCAGATTTTATTAAAACAAGACAGGATCTGGCCAAAGTAGACTTGTGGGTAAATCTACAGCAAAACAGCAGGGGGTGTTCAGAAAGGAAATGGAGAGAGTACAGGCTCAACATGTTTACTTTAGGGTGAAACATAGGAGCAACAAGCCCAGAGAACCCTGGATGTCTAGGAATATTCAGGACTGGATAAGAAGGAAAATAGAGGTGCATAACAGGCACAAAGGAAGCAAACCAATGGAGGCCCTAGTGGAGGGTAGAAAATCCAATGGGGAGCTCAAGAAAGCAATTAGGAGAAAAAAGACAGAATATGAGAATATACTGGTGGGCAAGATTAGGGAGAAACCCAAAATATTCTCTAAGTTTAAAGCTTTAGCAAAGATTTGTAGCTCGGTTTGTGGGTGAGGTTGCTGACTTGCTCGCCGAGCTGGCTGGTTTTCGTTCACATGTTTCATCACCATGCTAGGTAATATCATCAGTAAGGCCTACAATGAAGCAATGTTGTTCTACTCCACTTGGAATTTATACTGACTGGTCCGTTATGATGAGTAGTGTCATTTCTGGTTTTGATCTGTTTGGGTTTGTATATGGGGTCCAACTCTATGTGTTTGTTGATTGCATTATGGGTGGAGAACCATGCCTCTAGGAATTCCTGGGCTACTGTAGTTACATAGTTATAGTGGCCATAATGTAATTAATAAACATATAGAATTGGACCCCATATACAAATCCATACAGATCAAAACCGGAAATGACAGTACTCACCATAATGGACCGGACAGTATGAATTCCAAGCGGATTAGAACAACATTGCTTTATCGGAGGCTTCACTGATGATGTTGCCTAGCATGGTGATGAAACATGTGAACGAAAACAAACTAGCTCGGCGAGCAAGTCAACAACCTCATATTCTCTAAGTTTATTAAGGGGACAGGGATAACCAAGGAAAGAGTAGGGGCCATTAGGGACCAAGGGGGTAATCTTGCATGGAGCCAGAGGACATTGGTAGAGTATTAAATGAATACTTCACATCTGTCTTCAAATCGGGAGAAGAAGGATGGAGGGACAAAATTCGGAAAGAACGAGCAGATTGATATAAGAAACGAGGAGGTTTTGGCAGATTTAAAAGTGGTCAAATCCCTAGGTCCAGATGAGTTGTATCCAGAGATGCTGTGGAAATCGAGGAAGGAAGTGACAGTGGCCCTGACCCAAATTTTTAAATCCTCTCTGGCCACAGGGGAGGTGCCAGAGGATTGGAGGACAGCCAATGTGGTTCTACTTTACAAGAAAGATGGTAAAGGAAAACTGAAGAATTACAGCCCAGTGAGTCTCACATCAGTGTAGGGAAACTACTGGAGAGAATTCAGAAGAAAATTAATCTCCGCTAGGAGAGGCAAGGTTTGACCAGCATTGTCAGCATGGCTTCATCAGAGGGAGGTCATGTTTAATAAATCTAGTTGAAATTTTCAAAGAGGTGACCAAGTATGTAGATGAGGATTGTGTATTTTTTTTGATATAGTTTATATGGTTTTCAGCAAAGTCTTTGACAAGATCCGACATGGTAAACTATTAGAGAAGGTAAAAGCATATGGGACCTCAGTAACTTGGCAAGTTGTATCTAAAATTGGGTAAGTGATAGGAAACAGAAGGTGATGGTAAAAAGCTAGTTTGAGAGACCGGGGAGCAATGGCGTACCGTAGAGATCAGTGCTGGGTCCCTTATTGTTTGTGGTATTCATAAATGATGGAGATGAAAATGTGGGTGGTGACACGATAAATAAGTTCGAGGATGACAGTGAGGAGGAAGGTGTTAGCTTACAGGAGGATACAGATGGGTTGGTCAGATAGGTAGATCAGTGGCAGATGGAATTTAATGCTGAAAAGTGTGAGGTGATGCATTTTGGAAAAAGGAACAAGACATGGTGGGATCAAGTGAATTCCTTGAGGAGTATGGGGATGTAGGAATACACTTAAGAGAGAAATCAGGAAGGCAAAAAGGAGATACAAGATAGGGTAAAGGAGAATCCAAAGAGATTTACACATATATTAAAAGCTAAAAAGTAACTAGGGAGAGAATAGGGCCCCTTAAACATCAATGAGGTTGTCTATATGTGGAATCAAATGAGATGGGTGAGATCTTAAACAAATATTTCTCATAGTATTTGTGATGGAGAAAGACATAGGAGCTAGAGAACTCGGGGAAATAATTAATGATGTCTTGAGAAGAGTCCACATTACAGAAGAGGAGGTGCTGGAGGTCTTAACATGCATAAAAGGTAGATAAATCCCCAGGACTTGATCAAGTGTATCCAAGGACATTGTGGGAAGCGGGCGAAGAAATTGGGGGGCCCCTAGCAGAGATATTTGCATCACCAGTGAGGTGCCAGAAGACTGGAGGGTGGTAATGTTGTTCCATTATTTAAAAAGGGCTGCAAGGAAAAGTCAGGGAACTACAGTCAAGGGAGTCTAATGTCAGTGGTGGGTAAGTTGTTGGAGGGAATTCTGAGAGATAAGATTTACTTGCATTTGGAAATGCAAGGAATGAAAGTGGCATCACAGGTAGACAAGATGGTGAACAAGGCGTTTGGCATACTTGCCTTCATCAGTCAGAGCACTGAGCACAGGAATTGTATGTCATGGTACAGCTGTACAAGACATTGGTAAGGCCACATTTGGAGTACTGCATACAATTCTGGTTGCTCTGCTATACAAAGGATGTTATTAAACTCGAAGTGGTGCAAAAAATATTTACAAGGATGTTAGCAAGATTGGAAGGTTTGAGTTATAAAGAGAGGCTGGGACTTTTTTTGCTGCAGCAGAGGAGGCTGAGGGGTGAACTTATACAGGTTTATAAAATCATAAGGAGGTGAATAGTCAAAGTCTTTTCCCAGGGTAGGG